AAGAAGAAAAGAAATGACCTCTGTCCTCAAGTAATTCATAATATCGTACAGTAGTCTCAAGTTATTTTTATTGTATACCAACAGGAAAAATTTTTGAGCACATGTACCCAACGCCAAAAATATATATCTCCTTATTTAAAAAAATTATAAATAATACTGTATTAATAAAGTATATATAGGTTACATATAATAACACTACTATATTCACATACTGTATGTCTATATAGAGATAAATTACATCAGAAAAAAATACACACAAAAATTGAAGTTAAAAGGAATAAACTGAAAAACAAATAGTTTTAAACAGAGTAAAGGAAAGAGTTGAAAGGAAAGAACCAGACCCTTAAATCAGTAACATCAGGGACAGTAGTCAAGAAGACAGGTCACTGCTCTTTTGCAAGGATGCTCCTAATGTGTGCTCTATTAAGCACATCAGTGGCCTCTCTGTGGTCCCATCTACTGCTATGCCAGACTTCCCTGTTCCAGCATCTGGACTGCAGCATACAGCATTTCCAGGTATAAGGGAATAATGTCAGCCAGGCTTACATAAATGATTCAGAACACAAACTTTAGGGATAGAGAAAAAGTTTTGCGTTGGAAAATCCAAGACCATCTTAGTTTTCATTTTCTGTAGAAATTTGAGAGAGACTTCAGGATATTGACTGAAGCTTAAGTAGAAAATAACATATTACCCACAAGTTCTTTTTTGCAGTCATTAATAACATAACAATGAAAAGCCAAATTCTGCCACATTATTGGCAACCATCCTTGTATCACTAAAAAGAATGATCTTATCATTGACAGATGCTAAGACTCAGTGGTTTGAATCACACCATGTGTCACAAATTAAAAGGGCTAAAATCACAGTAATGCTAATCTGGAAAAGAATAGGAGAAAAACAATTGTTAGGAGCTGCAGGACCAACATTTAAAAGTAACCCACACAAAGCAACCCACAAAGCTGTGTGTAAAATTCGTTAAGACATTAGTCCAGACAGTGCACTGACCACTCCTCATAAAGCCTGCTGTGAAAGAAGAGCCATACTATGTTTCTATCCCCATTACAAAGACAGAGGGAAGTTTGCACATAGGAAAAACTGTAAAAATATACACTGGGCTGTTAACATTACTTGTATATGAGAAGGAGTTACCATTATAGCAAAAAGTTTCAATCAGTTGACTCCAAAGGACCCCTTAATTTGCCCAAACCCCCTTTAAATGGAATTCTGCCTTTTACATGTATATTGTATTCCAGCATTGCCCTCTACCCACTACATGCTGCATTACACAGTCTCCTCAAAAATATGTTTTTTTTTCCACCTGTGACAGAATAACACACATCCTAAAAAAATATCATTTAATGGGCTTTAATCTCTACAAAGACCTCCTACATCCTTCCCCTAGACTACAGCTAGAAGATGAGCAAGCAGAACTGCTTGGTGGAAAATGAAATATGTGCATTGGTCATCTTTGGAAAATGAGAACCAGCAAATGATCGTCCCCGGGAGGAGCTCTTCACAGAGGGGCATCTCTCTGTTCTGTGGCTGAATGACTCCTCTCAGCCTGAACAGACCTGGGTTCTAGTCTTGTGTTGCCCGCTAAATACTGAAGTGCTCAGGACAAATCCTTTAGACTCTCTGTTTGGGAGAATATTCCAAACACATATATAAAAGTGAGGCTATCTTATGTTGCTCTACTACGTGATATCATGTAAAGTAATTTGTGGGTAGCTTCTTGAGTTTTATTTCAGTGAATATTTAGTAAGTACTATTAAATGCTAGATACCATGCCAAGAGCTGGACATGAATGAGACATGGCCCTACCCTTAGGCTTCCACATAATAGTATTTCAAGTTGATATATGGAAACAGAAGCAAAAGAATTTTCATTCATTTGTTCATTTGTTCATGTTAATAGACAAAGAAGACACGGGGCCTAATCTTCAGGGAACTTACTTACTTTTTGGTCTATACTGATTTACAGGAACAGAAGTGGGAGGTGAGATTTTTAAAACTCCTTTAGTGAGTCAACCAACATATATTTATTAAGTATATCCTATGTCCTAGTCACTAGACTCCATGCCAGGGATACAAAGATGAAAACTACTTCCAAAGAGCTGATGGGAAACAAACAAATTAGAGAACAAGGCAGTATGTGCTTTCCTCCATAACTGGTCAACCACATTTTCCTGGAGGATTTGAAGAATTTGTCCCTGAGGACAGACACTGGAACAATCTTGAAAGATCATTTTTTCCTAAGTAAAGAATAGAAAAGAAAGGGTATGGCCAGGAATACCACCAGACAGATGGGGAAAAGAAAGAATAAAGGTCAGCAGGGGGTCCTGACTATACTAGGCTTAGTCCAAAAGAAACATTCTGCCATTTACAGTCCCCTGAAGCTAGGATTGGCAACTTTATTGAAATGCAGTGAATTCTGGGGGATTCTTAGATCTTTAGTGAATAAAGGCCCTGGGGATAGACAACCATAAGAGATTCTTAAAGACAGAGAACAAACCGAGGGTTAATGGAGGGGATAAGGGTGAGGGATAGGTATTAAGAAGGGCACTTACTGGGATGAGCACTCGGTATTATACGTAAGTGATGAATCACTGAATTCTACTCCTAAAGTCAATATTACACTGTATGTTACCTAACTAGAATTTAAATAAAAATTTGAAAATAAGAAAATAAAAAATAAGACCATCATGCCCAAATAGATAGACAGAGGCACTGGCAATGAACTTGGAAGATAAAGAGGGCAGGAGAGCCCTGAAGATAAACACAAATGAAAAGGGACAGCATCTGGAGGTGAGGACCAAATTGGACTTCAAATCTGTGTTCAGGGAACTGCTAGCTCTTGAGAGCACTGTTTTTCAGCAGTTTTCAAACTTTAGTGAGGGAAATAATTGATGTGATTTCTTATAAATTGTCCAGAGAATCTAGTTCTATAGTTGTGAAGAGAGGTAAGTCTAAGATTTTGTTTCTTTTTTTTTTTTCTTAATGAACATCAGATACAAATGATCAACAGACAACATGCTAAGAAGCATTAGCCTTAAAGCTGCACCAAGGGATCTGATGAAAGAGGGAAATATTCCACAGAATTTTCCTCTGAGATATGAAACCCTCGATGTTTCAAGAGTGTATCAGAAAATTAGATGCTGTCACTCAACATGAATACTGAACACTGACTCGCCAGAGCCAAATGCAGAGCTAAAAATGTTTTTGTGCATTTGCCCAGAAGCATCAAGAGAGAGTGATGCGAACCGAGAAGTGTGTTTTTGTAAATACCACAGGATAGTAATAAAGAAATTGCTATTTTCTAGTCATGTTGTTAATTCTGCTTTACTCTTCTACCCTGTACCTGCATGTTTTTGAAGGTCTGTACTATAGGGGTCAGCTATAGTCACAAGCTGGAAGGAAAAGCTGAGGTCCAGATGGAAACAAGACTGCTGAATTGTGTTTCCCCACAAGAACTCATCAACTTTGACCATTTCTCCAAGCTTAGTCACCCCACCCCACGAAAAGAAGGAAAACAGTTAGAAATGAGATAAAGAAGGTGGTACAAAATGAAGCACAGGGGAGGGGAGGAGCTTTGCATCCATCGTCTGAGCTGAAGATTGCCTTTCAAAAAAACTCTTTGTTTCCGTGTTCCTGTAGAAAATAGGAAAAAAAATATATTCTTTTATGCTAACGATGAAGGTAAAATGGTAAAGCCATTTTAAAAGTCTGTGAACTGGACCACTAAGTTTTGTATTTTAAGACAATTTTTATATATAACTTTCTAGTGGGAAGACTGATTCTTCTTTAGGAATTTCAGTTCAAATAGAGACATTGATTTTTTTTTTTTTAAACCTTAGTACACTGACTTTAAAATCACTTCTTAGCCCTATCTCAGTATAAGGCTCAAGTGAAGGTCTCAAGGGGTGGCATTGTGCAGGAAAAGAGTGACATCTGCAGGACTACTGTGTTGCTACATAGTAAAATCCACACGCGTTCTCAAAACTCAAACAATTAATTTATCAGTGCACAGATTACACACTCAGCACGTTGCCTAGCATCCGATAAACTCTCAACAAATGGTTATTGTTGCTTGCGTGATGGTGATGGTATATACTTTTGCATTGCATTTCTTGAAATTAAAAAAACAAAAACAAAAACAAGCCCAAAGAAGAAAAGGGCCAGAGGTTATTTTAATTACTCAAATCCATCTTCTGTTTTTCACAGGAACCATTCCAGACAGATAAGAATCTATCTTGTTTTTAAAGACCTTATAGAAAAATTCTACAGCTTCCCACATCAATACTGTGGCTTTACAATCTTCAGCAGGGCCAGCTTTGTTAAGTAAGTAACTTAGTAACTTAGGCAAACTTAGTTAAGTATACAAATTTAGTTTAGAAATAGACACCACCCACCCATTTGAGAACATATATTCCTTCACCTGTTCAATAAACCTTTCTTATGCACCTGTGTTCCAGACTCTGTTATCTAACCTAAGTACAACGGTGAACTGGATCTATTTCCAGTCCTTGAAGAGTTTAGTCTGCCGATCCTACAAGACTCCAGGTGTTCATGACTTCTTTCCTGTCTCACACCTCCTTATTCAGCTCATTTGTTCTTCCTTATAAATCCTGTATGCTAGGAACTTTCCATAATCTATCTCACTCCTAGCAAAACTAAACTGCCCATGCTTTTTGCTCAGGGTTCCAGTCTAGGTAGCACCTAGCCAATCTGGTAAACTATTCTATGCCAACTGCTAATGCATCATATCCCCAAGGTAACTTGACACATTCGGATGGGGTCTCTCTGAAGATATGATGATCATCCAGACCTTAGTATCACAATGATGGAGATGTCATTCAGAGTGTGGCCCTTCTCCACCACGAAGCTACCTCCTCTGTAAACCAGAGCCAACCTGGATTTTTTTGGTTTTATCCCACACTATTTAAAAATTTTTCCTTATTAGCCTCAGTGGAATTGAAGAACATATATCCAATTACCTTTTGTTGTAGCGTAGCTCCTTTAAATTCTTGGGAAATGTCTCTTCCCATTCTTCTCTCTGACATAAAGAGGCTCCCTCTAGAAATCCAAAACTGCCATTGAAAAATGCAAAATTATGTCAACTGGCATTTTTCATCTGTTATGCATATTTTTCTAAATTTTAAATAGCAAATAGCCAGATGATAATGCTACCACTTCTCTTTCTCAATTTTATAAGTTCAAATTAGACACAAGATGATTAATAAGCCACTACCCTGCTTGCCAGGAGGTGATCTCTGCAAATAGTTCTTGATCTGTGTGTTTTTGGCCATTCTGCAAGTTGGTGTTTCTTTGAAGTCTGGGCTCTGTCAGTGGTGATCTTGTTTTTGATGGCATTTAATTATTAAAAATAAGAATATATGAATCCAAATTAAGAAACACAATTCCTTTACTTAGCTGAACTGAATTTTAATGAATCTATATTCATTACAAAAACATAAGAAATAAGAAGATACAGTTTGTGTCCCAAGAAGTCAACTTTTTCGGTGGGGTAGAGATTGTTTTTCTTTATATTTCTATGTGCCTCTGATCTTAAGAAAGCCCACTGGCAGACTGCACCAACTATCCTTGAATATTTCCTTGGATTTGATTGGCTTACTAACAAGCTTTCTGACAAGGAAATATTCTCACAACCCACTAAAATCATGAACAAAATGTATAAACAGGTCTTGCGAATTTATTTCTCAGGAAATAAAAATGCTATAGGAGAAAGGTATTGAACATTACCAGCGTCTCTTCATGCTAGGCACTTTGTATATGTTACTTCACTCAATCCTCTTGATAATCCTGTCATGTCATGTACGTTGTTCAGAATAATCCTCATCTAGAGGCACCTGGGTGGCTCAGTTGGTTGAGTGTCCAACTTTAGCTCAGGTTGTGACCTCATGGTTCATGAGTTCGAGCCCCGCATTGGGCTCTCTATCAGCTAAGAGCCTGCTTTGGATCCTCTGCCTACCTCTCCCTTGCTCTCTCTCAAAAATAAATAAAAATATTAAAAAAAAAAAAACACTTGTAGAGTAATCCTCATCTAATAGATGAGAAAATAAGGCCAGAGATATTCTGTAACTTGTTCAGTTTCAACCTCATGTCATCTGAGTCTAGAGCACATGTTCCTTCCACAATTCCTGAAGAACCTTATTCTAAGTGCTGGGTGCAAACTTCAAATGGAAAGACAGAATTGGTATCAAAATGAGACAATACTACCAAGACAAACACTCCAGGAAAGCACTAAAATAAAAATGATGTTCTATAAATTCTTTTCTAAAGAAATAGAAAAAAAAATTGAAAGGACTTAGTGTTACATCTTGAATGTACATTAGTGGTCAACAAACTGTGTTTATCAGTTATGGGGGCTTTAAAATATAATTTTTCAATGTTCAGCCATTTGGAGATTAAAAATTACAGTGTAGTGTCTGTATATCATTTGTGAGGAATCAAATCTCACTATTGCTATAAACAGTTTAGGCTAAAAAAACCCCAACTCCTAAAGTAATGAAGAGGATTATCACATAAGCCTTATTGACTTCTGCTCTGTAGTATCTTTCAGTGTGTTTAGAATATCATGTTTGTGGATAACAGGATTGGCTGTGCAATTAGTAAAAATAGATTTGATCCTAATATTCACTTAAAGGGTTTTGATGCAACTTTATTTGCTCATTCCTTTATTTGCTGACAAATAACTGTAAAGTATCTTGGTGTTCCATATAAAACTAAACATAAGCATGAAATTGCCATATAGCCATGACCCCACAATTGCATTTTGGGGCATTTATCCCAAGTAATTGAAAAACTATGTTTGCACAAAAACCTACACACTACTGTTCATATTTATAGCCCAATAACCCAGACGTCCTTCAACAGGTGGCTGGTTAAGGACACGGGGGCATATTCATATCACGGAACACTATTAAGCAATTAAAAAAAAGAATGAACTAGGCATACACACACCATCTTGGATTAATTTCTAGGTAATTATCCTGAATGAAAAAGGCCAATTCCAAAAGGTTATACACTGTATGATTCCATTTATGTAACATTCTTGAAATGACAAAATCATAGAAATGGAGAACAGGTGAGTAGTTGCCAGGGACTATGGAGGGAGTGAGAGTAAGTGTGAAGTAGGTATAGCTATAAAAGGACAACAGGATAGATCCTGTGGTGATGGAAACAGTCTGTATCTGGACCATATCAGTGACAACATCATGACTGTGTTACTGTACTCCAAGGTCACCACTGAAAGAAACTTGGCAATGGGTACAAGGGCTCTCTCTCTATTATTTCTAACAACTGTATGTGAGTCTATAATGACCTCGAAATAAAAAGTTTATTTAAAAAAAGATACTGAACACTAAGGAACTGGAACTACAAACAGAATTAAGATTCCTTGGGGTGCCTGGATAGCTCAGTCAGTTAAGGGTCCAACTCTCAGTTTCAGCTCAGGTCGTAATCTCACTGTTTCATGAGTCTGAGCCCCATGTCAGGCTCTGAACAGTGCAGAGCCTGCTTGGGATTCTCTCTCTCACTTCCTCTCTCTCTTGACTCCTCTCCTGCTCACACTGTCTCTGTCTCTCTCAAAATAAATAAATAAACATTTTAAAATTAAAAAAACATATTCCTTAAATGACACTAAATACTTGGGGGAAAGAAGGCAATTCCACTGGAGTGTGGTAAATTCAATTCTACAGTTTGCACAACCGCCAGGGGGACATAGAGGAAAAGTACTGAACCTACAACTGGAATAAGGGATATGAAGGGTTTCCCAGAAAAGGTGATGCTGCAGTAAAGACCTAAAGAATTGGTGAGAGTTATCCTGGAACAGAAAGAAGAGAAAGTGTGAAAGGCATTCCAGGAGAGGGAACAGAATGTGCAAAGGAGATTGGAGATACCGTGGTGCATTCAGGAAACCATATAGTTCAGCATGTCATTTTTGTGGTGGGTAAGGGAGGGGAGACAGACAGGGTTCATTGCAATCCAAAGGCAAGGTCTAGGTCATGAGGATACATTATTTAAAAGGCCTTGAAGTATATCCTAAAGGGTACAGCCAGACACTACAGGATTGTCTCTCTGTTTGTTTATAGCAATAAATAACATCTAGGTTTTAAAGAGCATAAAGGTGGGGCGCCTGGGTGGCTCAGTCAGATAAGCATCCAACTTTGGCTCAGGTCATGATCTTACAGTTCGTGGGTTCAAGCCCCATGTTGGGCTCTGTGCTGACAGCCCAGAGCCTGGAGCCTGCTTCAGATTCTGTGTCTCCCTCTCTCTCTGACCCTCCCCTGATCACACTCCGTCTCTCAAAAATAAATAAACATGTTTAAAAATTTAAATCAATGAATAAACAAACAAATAAATAAAATGGAGGGCATAGGGGTGGAGACTGGACTCAGTTGGAGGGTGGGGACCAGAAGTAGCTACTGAGATATGATCAGGATTTAAACTACAGCAGTGACAACAGGAATGAAGAAAAAAGGTGGTCTTCAGAGACTTAGCAGAGACAGAATCCAACAGCATATACTGATTGTCTGAATATGAGAAGGGAAGATGAGGGAAGAATCTAGCACAAAATTGCAAGTGAGAGGAATTATGATGCTGCCCCCCAGCCCAGAGCAGACATCCTATTAACAATTACATATACTCTTCACATCTCAAATCATCTCTCCCAAGAGAGCCACTACTTATCCATCAGGGTTAGCAAAGAAGTGGTACTTATTTTCCACCTCCTACCTTAGATGACTGCTGAATTTCTAAATAGATTGTGATGCTACCCATAAAAATAGGTGAAACAAGAACTGAAGAGAAAATTTTTGAACTTGGTTTGATATGTTCCTGAATCTGATGGTCACGAGAGATAAGAAGTATCTAATAGGAAACTCAGTATTTAGGTATATAGCTCAGGATGGAAACTTGGAAATCACTATCATATATGTGGAAATTAAACCATAGAATCAAGAACATTACAGTCAAATTACAGTGTGTAAAGAGAGAAGAAAAACTGATCTAGAGCCGGGCACTTAAGAACATGGATATTTATAAGATGGACAAAGGAAGTTACCACAAAAGAGACTAAAATAGTATGTTAAGAAAAAGAAAAAAAAGAAAAAACAGGAGAGCATGGTTATTGAAACCAAGGAAGGAAAGGAAAAGTAGTCAGTATTTACTGCATGTAGTAATGACTACTGCAGATGAATCAGTAAAATAAGGACTAAAAAGACTCAGAGAATATGGTGATGGTGGTCACATCACAGATTTTCAGTTTTCTGCAATCCTTACACAAAAAATAGATAAGCTAAAAAGCAAAACAAAAAATACATGAAAATTTTTTTTCTAAAAATACATAGATAATATAATACAAAATCTCAAAATATGAGCAAATCATAAGACTTGTATATTTTTACTACTGTATGTAAAGGAGAAAGCAGAGGGAAGCCACAGGGCATCTGACCGAACTGAAAACAGAAGAACTTCAAAATAGCCAACAAGTATTCATTGGAAAGGATGCAAAATAAATTGAGAGCCACAGGTGAAACTAGGAGGGATTTTGTCCAACCCAGGGAATATAAGAGGTGTGGGATATGACACAGAAGGGCTCGAGCATTCTAGCCCTTATGAACACTTAAGATGGATTCTCCAGGTCTAGAATTGTGATGCCTCCAGCTTTAGTTTTCTTTTTCAACATTACTTTGGCTATTCAGGGTCTTTTCTGGTTCCATACACATTTTAGAATTGTCTGTTCTAGCTCTGTGAAGAATGCTGGTGGTATTTTGATAGAGATTGCATTCGATGTGTACACTGCTTTGGGTAGTATAGACTTCAAGCTGTATTACAAAGCTATAATCAAGACAGCATGGTGCTGGGACAAAAACGGTCACATAGATCAATGGAACAGAATAGAAGACTCAGAAGTGGACCCACAAATTTATGGCCAACTCACGTTCGACAAAGCAGGAAAAAATATACAGTGGAAAAATGACAGTCTCTTCAGCAAATGGTGTTGGAAAACCTGGACAGCAATGTGCAGAAGAATGAAATTGGACCGCTTTCTTATACCATACACAAA